TGTTTAAGCCACTGAACCTCCACATGGCCAACCACGGTTCAACTCCTGTACCTAGAGGCTTGCTTTCTCATTTTCTCCCTCTCTCTGTCAAACTAAAAAAATAATAATAAATAAAATTTAATAATTATTTAAATAGCAACAAAAAATACTTTTCCCTCCGTTTTGTAATACCTCCTCCCGCCTTTCTTCAGAGTGCTCAAAGCCTTTACCTTCTTACTTCCGAATCTCTGACAGAGGAAAATCAACAGATAGAGGGCTCTCACCACCTACAGTAAAGTGAAAAGAAAGCCAGTAATTTGGGCAGCAGAGGAAGTGAATCAAGAAAACTTCACTTACAATTCAGTTTGCTTTGCACAGGTCAAGCTATAAATACCACTTTGTAGTTCTATTACAACCACTGTTTAAGTTCCAAAATATCACGTACATTACATATTCTCTACACTGACCCCAGTGGATATAAAACTATCAAAATTAAGAGAGAAGCATTATTTTGGGGTCCTTCCTCATTGTCTGATTGAAAGTGAAATAAAATGTTGGTCTTATATGGCATTATAAATATTACGTCATCATAAAAGTCCTAACACATTTTTGCATAGAAAAAAATACATCATGACTTTTCTGATGACCTAACAGTATATAAAGAAACATGAAACTTCTTTTTTACTATTATTGCCATCCTTTTTTAGAGGATCTGTGTACTTTCCAGAGAAAGAGGGAGCAGAGACCTCCTCCCATGGGGAATGGTCATGCTGCAATCCCTTCTCCTCCATCTCTCCCTTCTTCCAGGATCTTGGGCATGCATACACACATGCCCAGCAATTTTCTAGTTCTCAAGCTGCTGGGTCCAGGATTTCATGTGTACAGTCAGCCATGCGAATTCTGGCTGCCTTAACCACCAGACCACAGGGTCAGCCCTGCTGTCCTCCTTACAGATAGACAATTTCAAATTTAAGAATTAATCTCTGCTCTTCATTTGCTCCAATATTACATACAACCTAGGGGCCCAATTCCATTCTGAAATGATGATTAAAACCTTCTAGTGGTTTGTTAGGTTAAGAATTGAGTTCCTTAACATTCCAAGTTCCTATTAATCAGAAACCAACATTCATGAAAGCAAGCTGAGATGGTCTCTGAATGAATTTGACCTTACAAAGATAGCCTGTGAAGGGAGAAAAGAGCTAATTGTCTTTAAAGGAGTGGTTTCTACTTTCTAACATGATTACTGAAGAGCCAGGAAAATGGACCCCAAAAATATCCATAGTAAGTGCCACTTCACGAATAGTCCCTGAGTACATTTTCACTCCCAAAGATAAAACTCATGGAAGAAGACCCAACTGCTCCCAATCCTGCCATCTGCACCCTCTTGGGTTTTTATTTGGAATGGACAGACTCCAGAGGGTGAAGCGTGTAAATACATAGAGATTAGCTCATGAAGCAGTCAACCAGAAAAGCCAATGAGGCAAAATACAAAGGTATATCTGTGTTCCTTAAGTTGGCTCTTAAAGAATACAAACAAGAGCTACGCAAGGTGCCTTGAAGCCCTCCATCTCAGTGTCCCAGCTTCACGTCCTAGGACCTCTCTGAGCACATTGGTGGGGTGAGGGTGGGAGCACCCATGCCGGGGATCCTAGCTGGCTGAGTGAGACTAGGGCTGGATGGCAGTACGAGGATTCTACTGCGGTGCCTATCTTTCTCTCTCAAAATAAATACATTTTGGGACCAGCAGGTGGCATAATAGTTACATTGCTGGACTCTCATGTAATCGACTGCAGTTCAAGTCCTGGATCCAGGGGCTTAAACCCCAGGCTGGGTATGTATGCGTGCGTGCCCAAGATCCAGAGAGAGAATGGAGAAGAAGAGATTGTGGAGTAGCCATTCCCCCTGGGGGGTGATTTCTCGCTTTTTGTCTGTCTCTCTCTGTCTGGTGAGCACACATGCGCTATAGCAAAAACCTCTCTAAAAATTTTTTTTAAAAATACATTTTAAGGAAAAATAAACTTTCCTCTCTCTGAAATAAATCTATTCCCCAATTTTTTTAAAGCAGTCATCCTAAAATAAATAGCTGTCTTAAAATAAGTGAACATGGAAAGCACTGCGAAGGAAGAGGGGGAAATACACATTCTGAAATACACATTCTCTGCAAACATTCGCCCTTCTCATCCCCTGTTCTGACAGTCTCACGGAAACCAGTTCCCTATCCATTTCCAGCAAATCTTTGAACATGTCAAAACTACAAGTTTAGAAAACTAGTCATTCTCCCTTCTCATTGATGTGGTAAAATAAAAGCTTTTTAAAATTGCTATCTGGGCCATCAAAATAGAAAATATCATTTAGGGCCCTATCAGAATCTTAGTATCTTCTTTTTTTAATTGTTAGAGGGCAAGCATGCTCTCCAGAAATAGAGACAACGAGAAGATTCCAGGCACACATGCGCATGTTTGTTTTGTAAGCCACGGAGATGGGACTTGAACCATAGCTGGCCATGTGGGACCCAATTTCCTTAACCACCGAGCTACCAGCCAGCCCCAGAATCTTAGCATCTTATTTTTTTACTACCATTTTTGGAATTCCAGTCATATTTAGGGAAATTAAACATGCAACTTTAAGAATACAGGGCCCAACACACAAGCTCAGAACCATTTGTTCAGTTCTAATACTCGTGTTCAAATTTCCTATCAGTAACTAAATTCATGTTCTGAAAGTGTGTTAGCAGACCACCTGTACCAGAATCCCCAGGGTCTGAGTTCCCTTAGCTCTGCAGGACTGGCCCACAGGGGGGGCTCTAGGTCCTTATCTGTAGACTTCCTTCTGTATGCCTGCCAGTGATCTGGAGCATGTGGGTGGATCATGGCATTGAGACTCTGTAGGGGGTGCTAGCTCGCTCGCTCTCTCATGGACAAGTACATAAACGTTTTAAAAATCCCCGGGGTTTTCTTTTTTCATATTAAAGCAGATTCTTCAGGTCTAACCACCACACTTACTTAAGTCAGAATTTAAGAGACAGAGCCTGCAACACGGTATTTTTAATACACCCCTGGAGAGCTTTTTTTTAAAAAAGAGTTATATATTTAGTTTTACTTATTATTTTCAATTTGACCAGAGAGAGCAAGGGAAAATGAGAAAACAAACCACCAGGTCTGGGACTCGAACCATGGTCCGCCATGTGAAAGTCCAGTACCCCAATTACCACGCCACCTGCTGCCACCCAGGGGAGATTTTAATGCACACTTTAGTTTGAGAACCACTAAATCAAACTCATGGGCTTCTTTGCTATGTTGTCCCCAACACGTGGGATGCCAGTCTGTTCTCCCTTCCAACTTAAATTATTTCCTAATTAGACGCGGTAGTTAACAAACCCTCCAGTTCCCCGCCAGCAACAGTTTAAAAGGAAGCAAGAAATTGGGAAAGATTAAAGACCGTGCTCCATGCTAAGTGCTCAGGGGCCTCCGGCGCATCCCAAATAGAACCGCGTCAAGAGCGGCAGAACTCAATATTTGGTTCTCGTATGGCTCAGGGCCAGAACGATCCCGTCTAACTTCTCCACCATAAGCACAAGCAACATCGCTGGCACCCATCGCAGTTCCCTGGCACCCCTCACAGATTTCCTTTGCCGCCCCCAATCCTAGTTAACGTACATTCCTTACTTCTGCACAGGGCTGCCTCTGTACGACTGTTGGAAAAGCATTTCACCGACACAATCAAACCCACACACCCCCTCTGCAGTCCCCAGGCCTCCTCGGGGTCCCGGGCCGCCCTGCGTCCTGCCTCTCCTCCATCCGTCCATCCCTAACCTGGGGCTCTGACCACAAGGGCCCACCCCCCTGCTCAAGCAACTTTCCCCACTCGGATTAACCCGGTCCTCTCCCAGCCGGGCCCAGCCCAGTCCAGCCCGCGCACAGCCTGCTCCGCGCGGCCCTAACTCCTGCTCCCGGGAGCCCCTCGCCCCCGGCTGGCCGAGCCCTTGGCGCCCTCCCCTGTCGCCACCAGAGGGATGCCCACGCACTGCATCCCGGCTTTGGCCGGCCCAGGCCCGTGGGCCCGGCCACGCGGCCCGACTGCCCCCTAACCCCCTCCCAGGGCTTCTTTGCAGGGGCAGGGGTGCGGTCAGCCCTCCAGTCTGCCTCGCCTGCCCTCTCCTCCGGGCTGCCCTCCTTACCCGCCTGCAGCCCCGCTTCGGCGACATCGCCGGCAGGGCCGGGCTGGGCCCCGCCGCCGCCCGTGGGGGAGGAGGGACAACTGTGGTGGTGGGAGTCCTTGATGTCGCGGAAGAACTTCTGGGTTTCGCGCAGGTTCTGCCTCAGCCGTCCCAGGTAGCGGCGGTAGGGACCGGAGACGCGCG